AACAATTAATTAAACCGAAGTCACATCCCACATCTCGAACACGGCCTATGCAACATTATGCACGTAAGCTCCGCGTGTTGCAGTGTTTTTGCCTCTGCAAGGTGGGTAGGCAAAGAGGGGCTGAGGGAAGGGTCAGGACCTACTGCCCAGGAGCCTCCACCTACATCACCCTGGGAAAACCTCGGCCTAAAGAAGGGACGGAAAGGTGCAGGAGGGAGGGAGGGGAAAGCCATAAAGAGTGGGTCAGGTTGTAGAGGCGGGGGTTGCAAGGGTCATACAGAGGGTCGCCTTACAAAGCGCCGTTGCAACTGGTGCATTACTTGCAGTGGTGCGCGACCAGCGGACCGTTATGGATTTATATGGTTCATTTGCATACGAGCAATGAGGCGTTGCAGCCGGAGACGTGCAGGTGAGAAGTGTACGGTGAGCAACAGGTATAGAAGCCCTGTTTTAACGGTGAGAAGCGACGCAGTGGCTGTACAGTAAACATGTAACCATCAGTGTTCTGGGCTGGTGGAGAGAGGTCTTGTTAGGGTCCTCACACATCCATACGAGGTTATTTACCAAATCACATTAAATAACTATGGCTCTGTTAATACGTCTGTCTGTTTCCTTCTGTGTCTGTGTACTTGTCTGTTTCCTCTGCTTGTACTGTCTGTTTCTTCTGTGTCTGTTACTTTCTGTTTCCTCTGCTTCTTGTCTGTTTCCTCTGCTCTTCTGTGTCTTGTTTTCTCTCTACTTTCTCTTCCTTCTGTGTCTGTGTCTTCCTGTCTTGTCTCTTCTCCTTTTCTTGTTCATGTCATTCATCTGTCACACACACAACACACACACCTTAACACAGGTTGCTTATGTTCTGTTCCGCATTTACAAGAATACCAAATATTTTGAAGTGTATAACAAACTACACAACACAGAAATTCAGTAACATAACAACCATACATATATAACAAAAAATTACATATTCTCGTAAAAAAAAAATAAAAAATAAAATATATCTTTAAATTAAACACTCATTTGACTTTTCCCCGCCAAAAAATAACAGAAATTATCGAAATAAAACCAATATATATTTTTTTTTCGTTCCCTCGGCAGTCTAACACAGTCATACATCAACCTGTAATCCACACTACAGTTAACCAAGCGTGTAATCCTCTTACCCAAAGTCCAGTCACTGGCAACAGTCCCCAACGCCACAAACTCCCAACTCGGGACGAGATTTTAAAATACTGCATCGAGTCTCCTAACAGCTGGTTGATTTATATAATAGATGTCGTTCTGATGTCTCATTCGAGTTTGGTATACGATTTCAAACACGATGGCCTGAGCGAGATGCAACGCGGCCTTAAAATTAAATAAAACTGCCACCCTTCCCTACGCTCCACCACCCCCTTCCTACCTCGATCTGTTTCTCTTTCTCTCTCTTTCTTTCTTTCCTCGACCCCTCTCTTCCTCTCCCCCTCTCTCTTTTTATATCTCTCTCTTTTCGTTTTCATTTCGTCTCAATAGCGGACACGGAGGCGGTCGGCTGGAGAATCAACTCATTAGGAACACCTGAGAGAGATTGAGGTGAGGCTAATTGGATGTACACAGGTCTTACTATGGTTCTTTTCACTCTTAAAGCCCCATTCACCAACCTTTTTTACCTGTCTGCTCGTATTTTCGATGCATTTGGGTTTTTATCTGGCGTGACTCAAGTAGCCGCTGGTGTTGTGTCCGTAATTCGTGACAGCTGATATGGACGGTTATTTACGGCATTGGTTTTTATCAATTGATATTTCAGGACTGATTTATTTATCAAATGGTTGTTTAGTTTTTTTTTCCTAAGGTTGTCTATAAACTGTTTCCATGTTGCTGTTGTTATTGTCATGGAGAACGTGAGGTTTTGCTTATTTTGAATTACGACAACAGTAAAAACATCCACGCCATTGTGATTTCCTCAAAATTTCCGTTCAATGCACACGGACAAAAACCAATGTACAACTACAGTCCTTTCACATCTACCTAAGCTTCCCTTTAGAGCGAAGTCCCTCCGTTTTCTATGACTGGTCCTCCCGCAACCAAACACCTGAATGTCCACCAGCATATAAAAACCACTTTCCTCCTCCGACACTGCACACCGCGTCATTACAAGCTCCTCTCTGTGGCGGTGGGAACTAGAAGCATCTCTTGTTGGCTTGCAATAGAAGACTTTTTTTAGCTTTAACTTGCTATGATGGTGTTTTTGAGTTTCTTCACGAGGCTACACTCCACGTAACTTGTCACTGCTGGTGTGTGCAGGAGTCGGTCATGTTAGGTAGACGATCATGATAAGATAAATGCTTAGGTAATATTCCATAACACAAACTTAATTTTCCTATATCTGTCTCCTTATCTCTCTCTGTCTATCCATTTATATTTGAAATACTGTACCTCAATCCGTGTCTCTCCCTGTGTTTCTGCCTATCCATGCATCTCGCCGCCTATCCATACATCTCACCGCCATCCATCTCACCGCCTATCCATGCATCTCACCCTATCCATACCTCACCGCCTATCCATGCATCTACCGCCTATCCATGCATCTCACCGCCTATCCATGCATCTCACCGCCTATCCATGCATCTCACCGCCTATCCATACACCTCACCGCCTATCCATGCATGTCACCGCCCATCCATACACCTCACCGCCTATCCATGCATCTCCCGCCATCCATATGCACCCTATCCATGCACCTCACCCTATCCATGCATCTCCCGCCTATCCATGCATGTCACCGCCTATCCATGCACCTCACCGCCTATCCATGCACCTCACCGCCTATCCATGCACCTCACCGCCTATCCATACTCACCGCCTATCCATGCATGTCACCGCCTATCCATGCATGTCACCCCATCCATGCTTTCACCACCCATCCATGCACCTACCGCCTATCCATACCTCACCGCCTATCCATGCACCTCACCCCCTATCCATGCACCTCACCGCCTATCCATCACACCTATCCATGCACCTCACCGCCTATCCATGCATCTCACCGCTTATCCATGCATCTCGCCCCTATCCAAACCTCACCGCCTATCCATCACCTCACCGTCTATCATGCACCTCACCGCCTATCCATGCATCTCACCGCCTATCCATGCATCTACCGCCTATCCATGCATCTCGCCGCCTATCCATGCACCTCACCGCCTATCCATCATCGCCGCCTATCCATGCATCTCACCGTCTATCCATGCACCTCACCGCCTATCCATGCATGTCACCGCCCATCCATCACCTCACCGCCTATCCATGCATGTCACCGCCTATCGCCATGCATCTCACCGTCTATCCATGCACCTCACCGCTATCCATGCATGTCACCGCCTATCCATGCACCCTCACCGCCTATCCATGCACCACCGCCTATCCATGCACCTCACCGCCTATCCATGCATCTCACCGCCATACATGTCACCGCCTATCCACTCCTCACCGCCTATCCATGCGTCACCGCCTATCCATGCACGTCACCGCCTATCCACACCTCACCGCTGCCGCCGCCATCCATGCATGTCGCCGTATCCATGCATCTCACCGCCTATCCATCATGTCACCGCCTATCCATGCATGTCACGCCTATCCATGCACCACCGCCTATCCATGCACCTCACCGCCCATCCATGCACCTCACCGCCTATCCATGCACCGTCACCGCCATCCATGCACGTCACGTCATCCCGCACTCACCGCCCTATCCATGCATCTCACCGCCTATCCATGCACCATCCATGCATCCTCACCGCCTATCCATGCACCTCACCGCCTATCCATGCATGCCACCACCTATCCATCACCTCACCGCCTATCCATCACCGCCTATCCATGCATGTCACCGCCTATCCGCATCTCATGCACACATCCCACCGCCTATCCACGCATCACCACCGCCTATCCATGCACCTCACCGCCTATCCATGCACATCACCGCCTATCCATGCACCTCACCGTCTATCCACGCATCACCACCTATCCATGCACCTCACCGCCTATCCATGCATGTCACCGCCTATCCATGCTTCTACCACCTATCCATGCATGTCACCGCCTATCCATGCATCTCACCGCCTATCCATGCATCTCCTATCCATGCACCTCACCGCCTATCCATGCATCACCGCCTATCCATGCCCACCGCCCATCCACATGCATCCTATCCTATCCATGCATCTCACCGCCTATCCATGCATGTCACCGCCTATCCATACACCTCAGCGTCACACTGATTGACCCGTACAGTGGATCAGGTGTACTGGACATGATTTAACCTATCCTAACCTAACCTAACCTATCCTAACCTAACCTAGCCTGGCCTGACATTATTTTACCTAACCTGACCTAACCTGACATTATTTTACCTGACCTGACATAACCTGACGTAACCTAACCATGTCTGTCTGTGTGTGTGTGTTTCTGTGTGTGTGTCTGTGTGTTTGTGTGTGTGTCTGCTTTGTCCTGCAATGTAACCCACCCTGTTTTACATATACTGGGCTGGGATTGGCTGTCGTTGCGGACCATACGACCAATGGGAGTGCAGCAAGAGGTATACCAGCAGAGTTGACGGTAAAAACATTGGAACTAGTTAGCGTGCATTGAACTTGTCCGATTCCTCTCACTACTTTAAAGAAAAAATACATATATATTTTTTTTAATTATATAAACATTATTTTCAGTACAATGATAAATAAATTGATAAATTATTGTATATTTTATGTTAGTGGTCGATATCTGGATTTAATCATTTTATAAGTATTGTAATATATATTAATCAAGTCGAGGGTTGAAACAAGTGCGACAGGACCAGGTAGAAGAGGGTTTTTTTTCTGGTTAAATCTTTGCTGCAGTCTTCCTTTCATACGACCCACTAAATTTTCTATAGAAGACCTGCAAACGTTACAAGGTTTTCCCACGAGTGTATATACAGAAGACCGTGTTGCAGAGGAGGAGGAGGAGGAAGAAGAGCAGGAAGAAGAAGAGGGAGGTGACGTTTTATTGGTGACCGTCGCCTCACATACAAAACAGATTTATTGCTGAGAAATGAAAAAATATATACAATTATATGGATCCAGATATAGAGTGATGAGAATATATCGAAATATATACATAATGATTCATGATAGACATAATATGACAGACAGGTAATGAAATAGACACAACAGGGAAAGATAGTAAAAATAAATCGATTAATAAATTACTACACTTTACAACAACAAAATTTACAATAAAATTACAATACTAACAAAAAATAACGCAAATACAGCGAGTGAGAAACGCCCATACATACAGGAGAGGCTGTGATTGGCAATTAATTCGTAAGTATTAAATAATTAAGAAAATCTACACAAGTTCTTAATATTGACCTGTAAGTTTGGACTCGTTCTGTAGTTTGTATTCATTCTACCCGATAAAACAAAGTCAAATACCACGTGTACGAACAGCAACAGGAAGGCGGGAAGGGTAGAGACATTGGTTCTGGCGAAATCTTTACTGCATTCTTCCTTTCATACGAGCTACCAAGTTTTCAATGGCAGATGGGCAAGAAATGTAATGTTTTCCCAGGAGTGGTTTATGACCCAAGGCTGCAGTGAAGGAAGGGGAAGCAGGGAGGAGGGGGAGGGGGGAAGGCGGGTAGACAAGCTGGGAGGGTGTACTGAGAGAAGAGATATATAAAATGGATATACTTATAGGTTTAAAATAATGAAAATGGGATATATAGATTGATGAGTACAGATAGATAATGAATAACGTAGAAAACCACAGCTTGTGATTGGCTGCCGCTTGGACTCGTGTAATCAATCAGGGTAAAGGAGGAACTATACCTGGGTAACATGCATAGTAGGTGTCCGATTCTGTAATAGAATTTGTTAGTTATTTTGCAACGTCCGTTTTATTGTTATGATTTAGTTTGTAAGTGAAATACTGTAGATTAAATAACTTGTCATATATCAGAATAATTGACGTTAACAATATAATTTCAATGGGGATTTATGGGGATTTATTCAATTTATGGAGTCAAGTGGGAGGAGGCAGGTAGGAGAGGCATTGGTTGTGGCCAAATCTTTGCTGCATTCCTCCTTTCATACGAGCCACAAAGTTTTCAATAGCAAATGTGGGAGAGTTGCTTGGTGTTCCCAGGACCAGATACAAGACCTGGTGATGACTGTTGGAGGAGGAAGATGTTTTTATAAGCTGACGCCACATTAATCTTAATATATCATATACAGAGCAATTAATTAGTTTAAAAATAATTGCCAAGAACAACTTATAACACATTTAAACTCAATTACAAAAGCAAATTCCGAGTTGCAAAAAAAAATTACTTAACATACACATGCAGTCAATCAGTGTATTTCCTTTCCTAAGTAAACCACTGTACTGCATAACTCTGCATTACACTGAAAAAAAAAAGGTACAAGTTGTCAATAAGGTTCATGAATCATTGATAAAACATAGTAAAAACAGTCTTATGAAAGGATATACTGGTTCGTGTTAACCATGGACGGTGATTGGCTGTTGTTGAGTTTCCATGACCAATCAGGGTTAAGAGTGTAGACTTGCATTGAATGTGTTCGATTCCGTGAAATTTTCTAGATTTTAGACAACGCATTTTCTTAAACATAATTTTTCTGTTAAGGTTTATAAGGATTTTGGGTATTAGGACCATAAATAAATAATCATAAATATTAATGTTAACTCTTTTATATATAAATTTTATGGCATATTGGATTTTATTCTCATCCCAATAACAAGTCAAGGATTGGAACACAGGGGAGGAGGCTGGTGGGAGAGGTTGAGGTCCTGGCGAAATCTTTGCTGCATTCCTCCTTTCATTCGAGTTGCTAAGTTTTCAATGGAAGATCTGCAAGTGTTGTAATGTGTTCCCACGAATACGTACCAGGCGGTGGATGGCAACGTTGCAATGTCGGTGGCTGAAGATGTTTGGTTTCAAGAGGAAGTAATCATAGAAAACGAAGGTCTGGTAGTATTATGTGACCCCTGGTGTTATAACTAATTATTGTATCTGTTTTAGTATATTAATCTAACTTTACAGAGGTTATCATACAGATTTATAAGACAAATAAATTCAAATTAATAAGGATAGTTAAATCTTGACACAGAATCCATTGAGGAAAGTAATTTGTTATGTATTTCATTGTCCTAAGTTAATTAATAAAATCCTGTGCCTAAATTACAATAATCACTGTTAAAATTTCTAAAAAAATTAAACTAAAAGCAACAACTACAATAACCCATTGGTAATAACACAATCTACTTCTCTTTAAGGCTCCCCTACAAGAACAAATCCTTCCTTCCCCGTTTTCTATGACGCCCACAGCTATAAAAACACCCTCCTCCTCCTCTGACTACTCACTGTACACTGGCATATTACTTTTTTTTAATCGCTCTTGAGAACACCTCGCATCTCCTGCAGAAGTACCATTAAAAACTTGCTACCAGGGATGAAAGGAAGAAAACACCAAAGATTTTAACCACGACTGACACATATTACCTACCTCCTCCCGTGTGTTCGAATGTATGGTTTCTTGACTTGTATGAAAATGTAAATACTCATAAAATCTTATTACATTAATGACTGATGCTTCTAGAAGTACAGAAAAGCTTCATATTCACTCATCAATATTACACGTAAAATTCCAACGTCAATTGTGTAAAATTTTCAACAACAAAAAATAAAATACATTGGATTTATATAATGGATTCGAACATTTCAATGCAAGTTACCTGCATTCTCGATCCTGGTTGGTCGCGAGGTCCTGCCCAACAGCCAATCACAGTCCAAGTTTTATGTATATCGTCCGCGGGGTTAAAAGTTTACTAGCAGAAACGGGTTAAAGTTATGTCTGGCAATAGAATTTTAGTTGAATTTCAATAAACGTCTGGAATTTATGATAGTTATTATGTAGTTGATTTACCTCCAAGTGACGAAGAGGATCAGTTAATAGCTTCCTCATAAATGTTATCAATTATTGTATCATTGTATCATTCTTTGCAGCTACAAGTAATTAAAGATCTTAAACATAGTGCGACAACATCAAGTATTCACAGTATACCAGAAAATGTAACTAACATATCCTGCATTAATTACATTTAAAGGATTATAAACACGTTAATACATCTTGCCATGAGTCCCCTTTTCTATGGTAGTTCTCCGCCACAACACAGGTGATGTTTAGCTATAATGGCGACATTGGACTATACTGTAATTGCTTCATTGTGTCATCAACTGTCTTCACTATTCATAATTTACAACAATTTATATGAAATATTTCACCATCAAACTCTCCCCTCATGAATCACCCGATATAAGAAACAATTATTAAACCTTATTTATTCTTCTACTTAATTGTGTCCTAAGTAATGTGAACTCAAAACCCACGTCAGTCAAACTCCTTCTTCACCAGACAGTAAGTGGTGGGAAAACTTAACATTTCTTACAGAACTTCCATTGAAAACTTTGTTGCTGGTGTGAAAGGATGAATGCAGCAAAGATTTCACCAGGACCACTGCCTCTACTACCTTGGGTGTCTCACTTGTTCGAATCTTCTACTTATTGACTTGTGAGACAGACAAATCGTTATATAAACCCACGAAATAGGCAAGATTCTGTGTTTAAGAATAAATAAGAGCTATATATTATCCTGGAGTAAAAATAAATGTTGGAAATATCTCGTATATCTTTAGGGAAATATTGAAGTAATAATTTTTAAAACACCACACAAGGTAATCGGACAAATCAATGCAAGTTACCCAGGATGCAACGTTTTTGCTTCACAACCCGGCTCGTCGCTGCATTCTCCATTCTGATTGGTCGCAGCATTCACTACCGGAGCCAATCACAGTCTATGTTTTATATAGGGTCAGCCTCATCGTTCATAAGGTCGCTTTTCCTATTATTTACCATTGATATTCGTACAAACTGTTTCGGTCTACTGTTTTGTTATGGTTTTATATTACAAACATTCATAATACGCTTGTGTCAGTGGCAGTAAACTACAGATAAAACTAATTATCACGCCATTACCCGTGTTAAGATCACCATTATCATTGCCGAGTAATTGTAGAGCATTAGTCCAACAGAGATCGTCAGGATGTAACGGCAGTATATAGCTATGTGTTATATCGGTTATATTTATAAGTGTTATATGTTGCAATGGTTAAGTATATAAATTATTATATAGGTGTGTATATAAAATATTTAATCCACCCATTAATATAGATGTTTATATATACATCACACACCTTATAAAGTTGGTTGCTGTTGTGTTATGTGGAGGTGGTCCGTTCTGCACGAGAGACCTGCTCACACTGCACCAATGTTGCATATCTGGTCTGCAATATAATGCAAGTGCACCTGGCGGTCTTACCATCACTAACAACAAGCATCAGCCTCTAGGTCGTCCACTGCATCACCACCACCACGACTTCCGACCTTAACACCATGAATTACACTGTAGCCAATTATGCCAGGCACTGCACCTCTATGCTGCCATATAGTTCATTCTTCCTCTGTTGTCCCGTCTGTCAAAAAACACTTATGTCAGTTGTTTTAATACATAAATCACACAAGTTTATAATGTAATAATGATCTTTGTTTGTAAAGTAAGTTGTTAAAGGCCGCAGAGTATAATTCATTACATAAAGCCTCCCTAACGCCGGGTTGTCCCGCGCTCTGCACCCCCAGACACCTGCTGGCCGAGGTGTCGCTCCTGCCCGTCTGTCTCTCAGTGTTTAATATCAACCTATCTGTTTACTTTGTGTAAACGAAAGTCTTTACATTTGATGCGTCATGTCCTTAACTATTTAATTTGTGTAGTTCAGATGGCGACATTGGACTATACTGTAATTGTTTCATTGTGTCATCAACTGTCTTCACTATTCATAATTTACAACAATTTATATGAAATATTTCACCATCAAACTCTCCCATCATGAATCACCCGATATAAGAAACAATTATTAAACCTTATTTATTCCTCTACTTAATTATGCCCTAAGTAATGTGAACTCAAAACCCACGTCAGTCAAACTCCTTCACCAGACAGTAAGTGGTGGGAAAACTTAACATTTCTTACAGAACTTCCATTGAAAACTTTGTTGCTGGTGTGAAAGGATGAATGCAGCAAAGATTTCACCAGGACCACTGCCTCTACTACCTAGGGTGTCACTTGTTCGAATCTTCTACTTATTGACTTGTGAGACAGACAAATCGTTATATAAACACACGAAATAGGCAAGATTGTGTGTTTAAGAATAAATAAGAGCTACGTATTATCCTGGAGTAAAAATACACGTTGGAAATATCTCGTATATCTTTAGGGAAACATTAAAGTAACAATTTTTAAAACACCACACAAGGTAATCGGACAAATCAATGCAAGTTACCCAGGATGCAACGTTTTTGCTTCACAACCCGGCTCGTCGCTGCATTCTCCATTCTGATTGGTCACAGCATTCACTACCGGAGCCAATCACAGTCCGTGTTTTATGTAGGGTCAGCCTCATCGTTCATAAGGTCGCTTTTCGTATTATTTACCATTGATATTCGTACAAACTGTTTCGGTCTACTGTTTTGTTATGGTTTTATATTACAAACAGTCATAATACGCTTGTGTCAGTGGCAGTAAATTACAGATAAAACTAATTATCACGCCATTACCCGTGTTAAGATCACCATTATCATTGACGAGTAATTGTACAGCATTAGTCCAACAGAGATCGTCAGGATGTAGCGGCAGTATATAGCTATGTGTTATACCGGTTATATTTAGAAGTGTTATATGTTGCAGTGGTTAAGTATATAAATTATTATATAGGTGTGTATATAAAATATTTAATCCAGCCATTAATAAAGATGTTTATATATACATCACACACCTTATAAAGTTGGTCGCTGTTGTGGTGGGGGGATGTGGTCCGTTCTGCACGAGAGACCTGCTCACACTGCACCAATGTTGCATATCTGGCCTGCAATATAATGCAAGTGCACCTGGCGGCCTTACCACCACCACTAACAACAAGCATCAGCCTCTAGGTCGTCCACTGCATCACCACCACCACGACTTCCGACCTTAACACCATGAATTACACTGTAGCCAATTATGCAAGGCACTGCACCTCAATACTGCCATATCGTTCATTCTTCCTCCGTTGTCCCGTCTGTCAAAAAACACTTATGTCAGTTGTTTTAATACATAAATCACCCAAGCTTATAATGTAATAATGATCTTTGTTTGTAAAGGAAGTTGTTAAAGGCCGCAGAGTATAATTCATTACATAATGCCTCCCTAACGCCAGGTTGTCCCCCCCAGACACCTGTTGGCCGAGGCGTCGCTCCTGCCCGTCTGTCTCTCAGTGTTTAATATCAACCAATCTGTTTAAATTATATAAATGTTTATAATATTAATATTATTCTAAATTCAGTTTCAATCTTATTTACTTTATAAAAAATATATTTATATAAGCGATGGTAAACTTAATCAACTATAATTATTAATTCAAAGTTCTACACGAATACAATATACAACAGTAATTGTATCAATCTGTAGAAGAGTTAGAAGATATTGTAGTGTTTAGTATATACAGTGTTATAGCTTCCCTCCCTCACTCTCCTTTCCCTCCCTCACTCTCCTTTCCCTCCCTCACTCACCCTGCCCTCCCTCACTCTCCCTGCCCTCCCTCACTCTCCCTACCCTCTCTCCCTCATTCCCTCACAAAAACTCCATCTTCACAACACTCCACAACGCTGCATTGACTCCTTTCCCTGACTTTCCCACAGTGTGTACCTCCTTTCCCTTCCCCACCCCTGCAGGCCCTTTACCCTCACCACTTCCTCTTACCTGCCTTCCTTCCCTCCCCTTATCCCTTCTCTCCTTGCATCTTCTCCACTTACTCTTTCTCCTCTCACCTCTTCTCCACTGACCTCTTCACCGTCATCTCTTCTCCCCTTCCCGTTTCTCCTCCGTCGTCTCCAAAGTATCAGGAAAATACGAAAGGTTTCCCAACGTATCAGAAAATTACTTTGGCGAGAAGTGTACAAGTGAAGTTTTTATCTTTCATTCATCTGAAGTTCCTCGAGTTAATAATAATAATAATAATAATAATAATAATAATAATAATAATAATAACCCGTTTTCTATGGTAGTTCTCCGCCACAACACAGGTGATGGCGGCAGCTTATAAAAACCTCTTCCTCCTCCAACAGTCATCACCAGGTCTTGTATCTGGTCCTGGGAACACCAAGCAACTCTCCCACATTTGCTATTGAAAACTTTGTTGCTGGTGTGAAAGGATGAATGCAGCAAAGATTTGGTCACAACCAATGCCTCTCCTACCTAGGATGTCTCACTTGTTCGAATCTTCTACTTATTGACTTGTGAGACAGACAAATCGTTATATAAACACACGAAATAGGCAAGATTGTGTGTTTAAGAATAAATAAGAGCTAGGTATTATCTTGGAGTAAAAATACACGTTGTAAATATCTCGTATATCTTTAGGAAAACATTAAAGTAACAATTTTTAAAACACCACACAAGGTAATCGGACAAATCAATGCAAGTTACCCGGCTTGTCGCTGCATTCTCCATTCTGATTGGTCGCAGCATTCACTACCGGAGCCAATCACAGTCCGTGTTTTATGTAGGGTCAGCCTCATCGTTCATAAGGTCGCTTTTCGTATTATTTACCATTGATATTCGTACAAACTGTTTCGGTCTACTGTTTTGTTATGGTTTTATATTACAAACATTCATAATACGCTTGTGTCAGTGGCAGTAAACTACAGATAAAACTAATTATCACGCCATTACCCGTGTTAAGATCACCATTATCATTGCCGAGTAATTGTAGAGCATTAGTCCAACAGAGATCGTCAGGATGTAGCGGCAGTATATAGCTATGTGTTATATCGGTTATATTTAGAAGTGTTATATGTTGCAGTGGTTAAGTATATAAATTATTATATAGGTGTGTATATAAAATATTTAATCCAGCCATTAATAAAGATGTTTATATATACATCACACACCTTATAAAGTTGGTCGCTGTTGTTGTGTTGTGTGGATGTGGTCCGTTCTGCACGAGAGACCTGCTCACACTGCACCAATGTTGCATATCTGGCCTGCAATATAATGCAAGTGCACCTGGCGGCCTTACCATCACCACTAACAACAAGCATCAGCCTCTGGGTCGTCCACTGCATCACCACCACCACGACTTCCGACCTTAACACCATGAATTACACTGTAGCCAATTATGCAAGGCACTGCACCTCAATGCTGCCATATAGTTCATTCTTCCTCTGTTGTCCCGTCTGTCAAAAAACACTTATGTTAGTTGTTTTAATACATAAATCACCCAAGTTTATAATGTAATAATGATCTTTGTTTGTAAAGGAAGTTGTTAAAGGCCCCAGAGTATAATTCATTACATAAAGCCTCCCTAACGCCGGGTTGTCCCGCGCTCTGCACCCCCAGACACCTGCTGGCCGAGGCGTTGCTCCTGCCCGTCTGTCTCTCAGTGTTTAATATAAACCTATCTGTTTACTTTGTGTAAACGAAAGTCTTTACATTTGATGCGTCATTTCCTTAACTATTTAATTTGTGTAGTTCAGATGGCGACATTGGACTATACTGTAATTGCTTCATTGTGTCATCAACTGTCTTCACTATTCATAATTTACAACAATTTATATGAAATATTTCACCATCAAACTCTCCCATCATGAATCACCCAATATAAGAAACAATTATTAAACCTTATTTATTCCTCTACTTAATTGTGCCCTAAGTAATGTGAACTCCTCAAAACACACATCAGTCAAACTCCTTCACCAGACAGTAAGTGGTGGGAAAACTTAACCTTTCTTACAGATCTTCCATTGAAAACTTTGTTGCTGGTGTGAAAGGATGAATGCAGCAAAGATTTCACCAGGACCACTGCCTCTACTACCTAGGGTGTCACTTGTTCGAATCTTCTACTTATTGACTTGTGAGACAGACAAATCGTTATATAAACACACGAAATAGGCAAGATTGTGTGTTTAAGAATAAATAAGAGCTACGTATTATCCTGGAGTAAAAATACACGTTGTAAATATCTCGTATATCTTTAGGAAAACATTAAAGTAACAATTTTTAAAACACCACACAAGGTAATCGGACAAATCAATGCAAGTTACCCAGGATGCAACGTTTTTGCTTCACAACCCGGCTCGTAGCTGCATTCTCCATTCTGATTGGTCGCAGCATTCACTACCGGAGCCAATCACAGTCCGTGTTTTATGTAGGGTCAGCCTCATCGTTCATAAGGTCGCTTTTCCTATTATTTACCATTGATATTCGTACAAACTGTTACGGTCTACTGTTTTGGTTTGGTTTTATATTACAGTCATAATACGCTTGTGTCAGTGGCAGTAAACTACAGATAAAACTAATTATCACGCCATTACCCGTGTTAAGATCACCATTATCATTGCCGAGTAATTGTAGAGCATTAGTCCAACAGAGATCGTCAGGATGTAGCGGCAGTATATAGCTATGTGTTATATCGGTTATATTTATAAGTGTTATATGTTGCAGTGGTTAAGTATATAAATTATTATATAGGTGTGTATATAAAATATTTAATCCAGCCATTAATAAAGATGTTTATATATACATCACACACCTTATAAAGTTGGTCGCTGTTGTGGTGGGGGGATGTGGTCCGTTCTGCACGAGAGACCTGCTCACACTGCACCAATGTTGCATATCTGGCCTGCAATATAATGCAAGTGCACCTGGCGGCCTTACCACCACCACTAACAACAAGCATCAGCCTCTAGGTCGTCCACTGCATCACCACCACCACGACTTCCGACCTTAACACCATGAATTACACTGTAGCCAATTATGCAAGGCACTGCACCTCAATGCTGCCATATCGTTCATTCTTCCTCCGTTGTCCCGTCTGTCAAAAAACACTTATGTTAGTTGGTTTAATACATAAATCACCCAAGTTTATAATGTAATAATGATCTTTGTTTGTAAAGGAAGTTGTTAAAGGCCCCAGAGTATAATTCATTACATAAAGCCTCCCTAACGCCGGGTTGTCCCGCGCTCTGCACCCCCAGACACCTGCTGGCCAAGGCGTCGCTCCTGCCCGTCTGTCTCTCAGTGTTTAATATCAACCTATCTGTTTAAATTATATAAATGTTCATAATATTAATATTATTCTAAATTCAGTTTCAATCTTATTTACTTTATCAAAAATATATTTATATAAGCGACGGTAAACTTAATCAACTATAATTATTAATTCAAAGTACTACACGAATACAATATACAACAGTAATTGTATCAATCTGTAGAAGAGTTAGAAGATATTGTAGTGATTAGTATATACAGTGTTATAGCTTCCCTCCTTCCCTCTCCTTTCCCCTCCTCACTCCTCCTTTCCCTCTCCTACTCTTTGCCCTCCCTCACTCTCCTTTCCCTCCCTCACTCTCCTTTCCCTCCCTCACTCTCCTTTCCCTGCCTCACTCACCCTGCCCTCCCTCACTCTCCCTGCCCTCCCTCACTCTCCCTACCCTCTCTCCCTCATTCCCTCACAAAAACTCCATCTTCACAACACTCCACAACGCTGCATTGACTCCTTTCCCGGATTTTCCCACAGTGTGTACCTCCTTTCCCTCCCTCCCTCCCTCCCTCTTTTCCTTTACCCTCACCACTTCCTCTCTTCCTCGCCTTCCTTCCCTCCCCTTATCCCTTCTCTCCTTGCATCTTCTCCTCTTTCTCCTCTCACCTCTTCTCCACTGACCTCTTCACCGTCATCTCTTCTCCCCTTCCCGTTTCTCCTCCGTCGTCTCCAAAGTATCAGGAAAATACGAAAGGTTTCCCAACGTATCAGAAAATTACTTTGGCGAGAAGTGTACAAGTGAAGTTTGTATCTTTCATTCATCTGAAGTTCCTCGAGTTAATAATAATAATAATAATAATAATAATAATAATAATAATAATAATAATAATAATAATAATAATAATAATAACCCGTTTTCTATGGTAGTTCTCCGCCACAACACAGGTGATGGCGGCAGCTTATAAAAACCTCTTCCTCCTCCAACAGTCATCACCAGGTCTTGTATCTGGTCCTGGGAACACCAAGCAACTCTCCCACATTTGCTATTGAAAACTTTGTGGCTCGTATGAAAGGAGGAATGCAGCAAAGATTTGGCCACAACCAATGCCTCTCCTACCTGGCTCCTCCCACTTGTTCCAATCCTCTGTTGACCTGAAAATGATAGTCAGAATAAACATACAAATATCAATTAAAATTCAGGCCTTGACACCTTAAATAAAGTAATGGTTAACTCTGAAAAAACAAAACAAGTTTTTAGATATAAATCACAAATATATCATTAAACAAAACACTGGAGAAACGATTCATATCGACCTTTTCTAGGATTCGAACACATCCAATGCAAGCTGGACAGGATGCAGCGGTTTTGCCCTTGTACTTTACTGAGGTGCTCTCAACCCTTTTAGCTTCCGTATCCCCGAGCGTGAGTAGTCACAGGTTACCCAGGATCAGCCATTCACAAGCCGTGATTTATATAAACGGACTTATGTAGTATTTCTTGTTATCGCTGGTATAAGATAAAATCAGTACAGCTGTTGGCGTTTCTTTAGTATGGAGCTACAGAACTCAAGGTGCACTATGATTTGCATATCGTGACCACCAACCACGAAATGCAAGACGACAGCTGTTGCAATGGTGTTCATTGTTACTGCAACATACTCAACCAGCATAGAGATCTGAGCTGACCAGAGGATGTGGCCATCATCTTAAGCTTCTTGTCTAATGGTTCTCTATTACTGGGGGATAAAAAGAGAGGCTGGGATGAACACTGGGAAGGGATGGTGGAAAGGAGATAGGATAGGAACTGTATTTTGGTTTGAAGGGACGGGGGGGGACGGGGGAGAGGACTGCAGTGTGGTGTGTAGGGTTAAGGATAGGGAGGGACAGTGGGATGGAGGACTGCAGTATGGCGTGTAGGGTTAAGGATAGGGAGGGAGGGGGAGGCGGGCAGAGGGATGGATAGTTGCAGTGTCGAGGCGAAGGTACTCCAGGTAGACAACCCCCGAAGGAGACCCCTCAGTACTAAACATTGTTCCTTGTCTCATGCTTCCCACACCTCCACATAACAGAGTCTTCATCAGCCAACTTCACTAAATTATTATTGTGTAAATATAACGAAAGTATTATTGTTTAGTTTTCTTTATCGACTTCACATACTTTACATGCCTATTAGTGATGCATTTACCTTAATGACTCAGAAGATAAGGATGAAAGATGTAATGATTTAACTAAATTATTTTTCTTTTTGTCGACCAGAATTATGTTTTGTGGTCCATCCGTTTAGGTATATTATATATTAGTGTCAAATTATGTCCAGAAACTTATGTGTGTAGAGGGGAGGAGCTTAGCTTACCCTACATAAATCATGGCCTATGATTGGCTCTTTCTCGCTACCCTGTAACCATTCAGGGTGGAAGACACGGCAGCTTGGGGGGGGGGGTTAAGGGCCTTGTAGCAGTACTAGGGTAAAAAATTCTGCATCTTTTACAACTTGCATTGAATGTGTTCGGATGCCTGAATCACTGTAAATGAACTTAGCGTCTCCTGGGTTATATTTTATAATGCTTCATTGTTTTGCATGTATTTTCTGTTATATGAAAGTTTTAAAACGCTTTGATTTAAGATTTCAATGTGTAATTATCCAGGAAAAATGTATTTCATTCTGATGATCTCTTGAAGTCATCATGTGGAAGGTTGGAACAAGTGGGAGGAGTCAGGTAGGAGAGGCATTGGTTGTGGCCAAATCTTTGCTGCATTCCTCCTTTCATACGAGCCACAAAGTTTTCAATAGCAAATGTGGGAGAGTTGCTTGGTGTTCCCAGGACCAGATACAAGACCTGGTGATGACTGTTGGAGGAGGAAGAGGTTTTTATAAGCTGCCTCCATCACCAAAAATTAATAAAAGTAAATTGTTTAAGAAATAATATGTGACAATATTGGCACTGATCACTCACTTCTTGAACAGGTCTCAAGTCATTAACGCTTCACTTAACATTTGTAAAGTGTAGATCCTGACATGAATTCTAACTTATAATTTGCATATCGCCACAACCAACCAGGTAATGCAACACGACACCTGGTGCAGTGGTGTGCATTGTTACTGCAACATTTGCAACCAACCGAGGGAGGAGGGAACAGTGCAGCCTTGTATCTTGATTTTTTTTTAATATATTCTTTTGTCCAAGGACCGCCCGAGATTGTGTTGAGGGATGATGGAATGGAAGGGATGGTGGGATGGAAGAGAGGGTGGGATGGAGGATGTGGTGTGATGGGGAAGAATGATGGAAAAGGAGGGAGGGAGGGTGGGATAGAGGATATGGCGTGATGGGGAAGGATGATGGAAAGGGAGGGAGGAAGGGTGGGATGGAGGATGTGGTGTGATGGGGAAGAATGATGGAAAAGGAGGGAGGGAGGGTGGGATAGAGGATATGGCGTGATGGGGAAGGATGATGGAAAGGGAGGGAGGAAGGGTGGGATAGAGGATATGGCGTGATGGGGAAGGATGATGGAAAGGCAAAGATAGTTGAACGGGATGTGGTTTAGTGGGATCGGATGATGGGAATAGGAATGGGAGGATGTACTGTGGTGTAAGGTGATGGGAGGACAGTGGGAGAGATGGCAAATACTCCACTGTAATCTTTCAAACAATTTTTCATTTGCTGGCGATAAAAACTATATTCACTACACTTTTGTAAAATTGTAAATACTCTTCACTTTAAAAAATCATAGAGAATTTATCAAGAACGTAATATCTATATCTATCTGTCTATGGGTCAATAGGTCCGCTGCAGTTTCCTTCATTATTATGTTCTTATCTGTCTATCTGTCTGTCTGTCTGTCTGTCTCATATAGGACTCTTTGAATCCGTTTTCTCCGCCACAACACAGGTGATGGCAGCAGCTTATAAAAACATCTTCCTCCTCCAACAGTCATCACCAGGTCTTGTATCTGGTCCTGGGAACACCAAGCAACTCTCCCACATTTGCTATTGAAAACTTTGTGGCTCGTATGAAAGGAGGAATGCAGCAAAGATTTGGCCACAACCAATGCCTCTCCTACCTGACTCCTCCCACTTGTTCCAATCCTCTGTTTGGTAACTTAAAAACCTCAAAATAACATATATATATATTTTTTAAATCTTATATTGGAAATCCACAGTTTCACTCCTTCAAAACTCAGATACGGTAAAATAAAAAATTTACAATTATCATATTTGCATCAGAGAATACGATAAGTAAAAAAATTATTAAATGTGAATGATGCAGGTATTCGAACACACCCAATGCAAGCTGGCCAGGATGCAGTGTTTTTGCTCCTGTACTGCGGTCCTCTCAACCCCTCTAGCTTCTGTATCCTCGATCCTGAGTGGTCACAGGATACCCAGCGAGAGCCAATCATAGGCCATGTTATATGTAGGCCAGCCTCCCCCTTCATAAAGGTCATTTTGGTATCATAAAGTTGTGTTGCATTTATAAACTTTAGACAATATATCATGTGAAATTTCCTCTATTAATACTTTAAGTATTTTGATATTTGTTTGTGTTTATGAAGCTCCAACTTTATTCCATATTTGTTGACATAATTTTATCCGTAAAAACATTAATATTAAGGAAAACAAATAAATAAAAGCTTATTAAAAACAACTTATTCCCCAAATCGTTCAGTATTTTAATGGTATTTATTTTAATTTTAAGGGTTATATAAGTAAGTGAGAATATTAAGTTAACTGAACACAAACAATTGATAGAATGATTTATTTAGTCTTATTCTGAGAACTCTTAATGGGTGTCTTATAACACTCCTAGCCACACTGCAGGTCTCTCTCTCCACCTTCCCGGCTCACCACACTGCACCTCCTTCCCACAGCCGGGTGTTCCCAGGACAATAGAACATCACAAAGGTTTATGGTGATGGCTGCATCCCTCGGCTGGCTACACATGTTGCAGGTAACAATGCTCGCCACTGCATCAGTTGTCATATTGCATTAAAAGATGGTGTCTACGATATTCAAATTCCAAGAGATACAAGAGTTTTGTAATCATGAATATATAAGCATTAAGCGATATATTAATGATATGTGTTATTATTCTAAACATTACTTCTCTTTATAGTAATGTTGTGTACTATAAATGGCTAAATTAATTTCCTCTGTCGATTAATTATGCAACACACAACGGTAAATAACTATTATGTTTTCTACAAGTTGAGGACAAACGTTCTTGAAAAGTCGTTTCTATTTATCTAAATTCTCTCTACTTGGATCCGTTCTTCCCATTTTCTATGTGTAGTCCCTCTCCTACACTACAGTACACAGTGCAACACTCTCCTGCATGTGGTCGTGGGAACACCTTCCTGCCCCTGCACATATACCATTGAAAACTTGGTGGCTCATATGAAAGGAGGAATGCAGCAAAGATTTGGCCAGCGTTATTGCCTCCCCTACCTGCCTCCTCCCGCTTGTTTCAACCCTGTTTCATGACTAAAAACTTGATCAATATGGCTTACAATTATCTCTAAGACCCTGTACTGAGGCCCAAAGTCTAAATGCTTCAAATTGCATATATGACACAAAATAATTTATGTAGTAATCATATTTGTAAGTCTAAGAAAATTAAGGAAAATAAGTTTATTATGAAATGCTCATGCAGGTATTCGAACACACCCAATGCAAGCTGGCCAGGATGCAGTGTTTTTGCGCCTGTACTGCGGTCCTCTCAACCCCTCTAGCTTCCGTATCCTCGATCCTGAGTGGTCACAGGATACCCAGCGAGAGCCAATCACAGGTCATGATCTATATAGGCCAGCCTCCCCCTTCATAAAGATCATTTTAGCATCTCAGAAGACAGTATTGTGTGGCAAAGCTCTAACCCACAAATTATATTTTACCGTACGTATAAAAAAAATTAATACCTAGAGAAGATTGTCCTGGTACTTCAACTTTATCCTGAATTGGTATTATTTTATTTCCAATATATGTTATTTTTTTTTTACACAATGTATCCAAAAGTATCTGTGATTTATTAAGGAGTATGTGCATAAGTTATTGAATATGCAGATGGTAAATTACTTCTTTCATTCATAATTTTCCTCGACACAGTAACAGACGTGCATGTCAATATCTGTAATGGTAGTTTTGAGAGGAAATTTATTTTAAGTGTCCCCAAGCGGTGTCGACTCTGTATACCTTCCCACCACACTACAATCTCCTCTCACCCTTCCTCTTTATACCCTCCTTCATTCTCTCCCTCTTACCTTCCTTCCTTCTATACCTCTTACCTTCCCTCCTTCTCTCCCTCTTACCTTCCCTCCTTCTCTCCCTCTTACCTTCCTTCCTTCTCTCCCTCTTACCTTCCTTCATTCTCTCCCTCTTACCCTCCTTCCTTCTCTCCCTCTTACCTTCCTTCCTTCTCTCCCTCTTACCTTCCTTCCTTCTCTCCCTCTTACCTTCCCTCCTTCTCGCCCTCTTACCTTCCCTCCTTCTCTCCCTCTTACCTTCCCTCCTTCTCTCCCTCTTACCTTCCTTCCTTCTCTCCCTCTTACCTTCCCTCCTTCTCTCCCTCTTACCTTCCTTCCTCCTCTCCCTCTTACCTTCCCTCCTTCTCTCCCTCCCTTCCCCCCTCTCACCCTCCATCTCTCACCTCTCCCAGAGTCAGATACTGAGCGCTTGGGATCCAAATCTTACAAATGTTAAGTAATGTATTAATAACTTCAATCTTGTAAAGTGTAAACAGAAGATTCGTAATGATATACAAAATCCAAGACTAGTTTCATAAATAATAACCTCTTCTTAGTTTTATATTTCCTCCTTATCACACCGCCCCCAAAATCCCGTTTTCTATGAGTAGTCCACCACACGATCCACCACTGCAACACGCTATTCTGTTTACCTTCATGGGAATACCTTACAACACTTGCAGATTTTCCATTGAAAACTTGGTAGGTCGTATGAAAGGAGGAATGCAGCAAAGATTTCGCCAGGACCTCAACCTCTCCCACCAGCCTGCTCCCCTGTGTTCTAACTCTTTCTTGAATGGCATGAGTAATGAATAAAATGACATATTTAACTTGAGAATTATACTTTAAGGCTGTGAATCTAATTGCCTTATGGTGCATATAAAATACAAAGTAATCCGCAAAACAATCATAACATGCAATGTTATATTTACAGGAAAATGTCATCTAGAAAGTCTCATGCAGGTATTCGAACACACCCAATGCAAGCTGGCCAGGATGCAGTGTTTTTGCTCCTGTACTGCGGTCCTCTCAACCCCTCTAGCTTCCGTATCCTCGATCCTGAGTGGTCACAGGACACCCAGCGAGAGCCAATCACAGGCCATGATCTATGTAGGCCAGCCTCCCCCTTCATAAAGATCATTTTAGCATCTCAGAAGACCGTGTTGTGTGGTGTCTCGTCTTTCTTCATATAATGGACTAAAAATCCTTTATTATTTTGGGAATATCTTAAGGAATCTCCAATAATTATCTATATCTTTCACTGCTATAGTTCATGGTTATATATGTTACGATATAAGGATAACAAATACAGTAATAATTAATATGATAATTACTTTAAAAAATGGCATACCCAACTTTATTTCATTTACTGTACGAACCCAAATTTAATTATAAGTATTGAAAATTTTGGTATCTGATTAAACACAGCTTCCTCTCACCCTTCTTCCTTCCCTCTCCTCTAGAGTAAGAGAACTCCCTCTCACAGCCGGGAGTTCAAGCCGATGCTGACATTCTCCTCTCCTCCCTCGGCTGGTGGCTCATGTTGCAGTAATAATGCACGTCACTGCACCATCTTGCCGTCGCGATACACATAATATGAAGTATGCTGAATCTTGATTGATTTCTATGTGTTTCTGTACTCCAGTAAACAAATTCATTTATTAAACTAGACAATAGTTATCATAGCTCTAATATTTACCTTCTTGTTGTCTTTTATCTGCTACAACAGGAATAAAACCTACGTGTTTAGAAATCCCCACTTTAAAATTTATCGGTGATGGAATTATAATATTTTGTATTCCTTAACAAAAATTCGAAAGTAAAGTAAATGAAGAATATTAATGAGAATTTCGAAACTTTTTTTGGGGGGTGGTGGTTGTAATAGAAGATATTGAAAGTCTATTTTCTAAAATGTTAGAAAACGTCAAAATTTCGTTACTTCAAGCATTTTCAATACGTTTGACCATGAGATGGCCACTAGCTATGTTAAGTCACTATGTATTAAAAAAAACTCCCTCCGCGCGAAAAAATATATTTCAGTCACGCCAGGGAAGTCATAACCTTGGCTAACTAAACTTAACAACAAACATCTTCCTCCTCCAACACTCAGTCATCACCAGGTCTTGTATCTGGTCCTGGGAACACCAAGCAACTCTCCCACATTTGCTATTGAAAACTTTGTGACTCGTATGAAAGGAGGAATGCAGCAAAGATTTGGCCACAACCAATGCCTCTCCTACCTGCCTCCTCCCACTTGACTCCATAAATTGAATAAATCCCCATAAATCCCCATTGAAATTATATTGTTAACGTCAATTATTCTGATAAACGACAAGTTATTTAATCTACAGTATTTCACTTACAAACTAAATCATAACAATAAAACGGACGTTGCAAAATAACTAACAAATTCTATTACAGAATCAGACACCTACTATGCATGTTACCCAGGTATAGTTCCTCCTTTACCCTGATTGATTACACGAGTCCACGCGGCAGCCAATCACAAGCTGTGGTTTTCTACGTTATTCATTATCTATCTGTACTCATCAATCTATATAATCCCATTTTCATTATTTTAAACCTATAAGTATTTCCATTTTATATATCTCTTCCCTCAGTACACCCTCCCAGCTTGTCTACCCGCCTTCCCCTCCCCCTCCCCCCTGCTTCCCCTTCCTTCACTGCAGCCCTGGATCATAAACCACTCCTGGGAAAACATTACATTTCTTGCCCATCTGCCATTGAAAACTTGGTAGCTCGTATGAATGGAAGAATGCAGTAAAGATTTGGCCACAACCAATGCCTCTCCTACCTGCCTCCTCCCACTTGTTCGAATGATCAGTTTATACACTTTTGGCATAACCAGATAACCATTATTTAAGCTATTTGAGGCCCATGATCTATATTCTTGAAACGTAACATAGATATTTAAATATTATACTTAATACAGACATCACAACAATGTACAGTTCATTACAAGTAATTTTATGTGAGGAGTCTCAAGAATTCGAACACATCCAATGCAAGTTCACAAGGATGCATATTTTTTGCTCATATTCGTCGTCCAGGCCATTACGTACTGTATATATTCTCGATCCTGATTGGTCACAGCCGTTATCCTGGTAACCAATCACGAACCCTGATATATGTGGGAACTAGACAGCCTCACCAATCATAGTAATGTTTATATAGAGGCGATGACATGTTGGCCCGGAGCAATTGTTGTGGTTTTACTATTTTTTTTTTTAACAATTAGGAGCATTACTGTTTATGTATATACGATAGATTAATATATTTTATAATTCTATTAATCAATCAATTATGTATATATTTTAACCTAATTGGTATATTGACTCTTATAACAATGAATATTCTTTAAGTGAATAACATTTCCCGGTCATGTATAAAAATAAATCCAAATTTTTTCTCGTATATAAAATGAGAGATAGACATTCATGATATATGAATAAATTTACCATATAATATACACTTAAGGGAAATGTTCACCTAGTTCAAATTAGATATAACAGGTTTTCTTGAAGTTTTACGTTGGGTTGATTATAATGTATTACGGGCGCATAATATTAACAGTTACACAAGTCATCACTAAACGACTATTACAGGTTACACATGTCTACTGTAATGTAATACAGTACAGTGAAAAATATACAAATCCTGCCAAACAAATCAATATTATTTTTTTCTTTACACGAATGACTGATGACTGAGTTCCTAAGTTCTTGCATTATTTGTGTGGTTTTTTTTTTCATTTCCGTCTACATAAACTAGTGATATCAGATGAGAGTAATCAGATCAGTAGTAGTAATAAGGGTGGCAATGTTAAGATTGATAATCATATAACAGTACTGATAAAACTCCACAGGAAATACAGTCAATTAAAAGTAATAATAATAATAGTAACAGTTGTACAGTAGCGTTACACCCGGAGGTTCAGTGATCTGAGTAACACGGATTTACCTTAACACTCACTTCGTCTAATTTATCACCTGCACCATCATCATCAATCCCGTCAAAGGCTGCATAAATCTGCATTAATGACGCTACCTGCATTAATGCATATAACACACGATAAAAATGCATTCAACTTACTTGTCCTGCATAGTTGTACTGTTGTTGTAGGTGTTTCGCTGTTGTGTTGTGTGGTGGGGGGATGTGGTCCGTTCTGCACGAGAGACCTGCTCACACTGCACCAATGTTGCATATCTGGCCTGCAATATAATGCAAGTGCACCCGGCGGCCTTACCACCACCACTAACAACAAGCATCAGCCTCTAGGTCGTCCACTGCATCACCACCACCACGACTTCCGACCTTAACACCATGAATTACACTGTAGCCAATTATGCAAGGCACTGCACCTCAATGCTGCCATATAGTTCATTCCTTCCTCTGCATTTTCTTCTACTTGCTAAACCGGTCTCGTCTGTTACTGCACCGCCAGAATATAAAGAGACAGAACTACAGTATCTAATAGTTAAATATTATAAATATCACCTGATAACCTCATAAATAAGTAAAGAATATGTCAACACAAGATGACCCCGCTGATGCATTCTCAGAGACACCTGCCGACCCCTGCACACACCCGCCCCAACGTGTCAAGAAGGAACGACGATTTTTCATTTCATATCGTTCCTTTCAAGAAGTTTGTCGCTCTGGCAAATCCGTATTATGAAAGAATAGTATTGCATCTCTTTTAAGTAGTTTGTATGTTAGCGTTATATGATGTTAGTGGCTGATAGTTTCACGTGATTTTGAAAACTAAAGTCATTTTTTGAGTTAATGAGATTATTAAGATCTAAGTGAACGAAATTTACTGTTTTGTTGACTAGCCTGAGACAGATACTATGCAATGGTCACACTAGACTACATACAGCTACAGGTGTGTGTGTGGGGGGGGGGAATCATTCGTTTGTAATAATTATAAGTCATTTTATTTCAGCTTTTAGATAAAATGAAGAACGTTTCCTAACTATGGGAAAACGAAGAGGCCTCTATCGCCCCTCACTCTGCAGTACCCGATAAAAACTGCATCTGGAGGGACATAAAAAACGCTGCATTTGCCCTTTTTCTTTGGAGTCGCCGTAGGGTGTCCCTCTCCTCCTTCCCACACTGCAGCAGCATCAGGCTCCCCTCCTCCTCTCTCCCACCCTCCTCTGTCGTCACCCTCGCTTCCTCCCTCAAGAGCAAAGAGGAAAGAAAAGAAACGCTGCAAAAAACTTCTGCTCACAGGGCATGAGTGCATAGGTAAAAAACTGCATAGGTGGAGGATGCATTCTTCGCTCCCCCCCTCGGGTGACTGCATATGACACAGTAACAATGCAACGCCACTGCAGCTGCCGTCGTGTTGCATTACATGGTCGATGGTGACGATATGCAAATGCAGCAGAAAAGGTTATGTAGTGTTTACCTGGGTGTCTTGCCCTATGGGGGTGTTGGCAGGGCAGAGTCACATCTGAGAAACCTTCTTATACTGTGATGTTTGATAGTTCTGTGATGATAAAATAGACAGAAAATGTAAATATTATAGATAGATATTAACAAACAGACAAATAACATCCCAACACACAGACGGTAAGACACAGACAACAGTACAGAGACATTGTAAAAGACATAAAAATAATCTCATAGGCAGACAACTAGAAATATTATTCGTTCCTTAAAATTTTATGTGATTCATGGTCCACACTAACTAGCTTACTCCTTCTGAATATATTATCACTATACACATCACAGCTATCACATGCAATAGTTATCATAGTTCTAGATAATAATTATGTAGGCTACACCTCCCGGTACATGAGTCATTCAGTTTTCCTTTTCATCACCGTGTTATAACAACCATAACCCAAGTTCCCGCCACATCCTGTATGCAGCCCTCAACACTCTCCAACCAGGGGAAAAAGGAAATGAAAAAAGAGTGGAAAAAATCACAAAAGGAGTAACCATCTTCATTTTTCTTTAGTTACCGCCTCATTTGTTTCTGTTGGTAATAAGAAAAATCTCTTTTTCTTTTCATTTCATTATTCAGTTTGTGTTGCTGTTTGTGGCGAGTCAATCTATTAAACCTTTCTACGTCTCTCCCACCATCTTCCCACCGCTTTCTCTCATCTCCGTCCGTCTTTCTCTCCCCTCCATGGAGCGAACAGGGAGGTCTAATGCATCTCTTAACCCTTGCAGAGATTGAGAGAACAACTGCAGCGAGTTTTCCTTCTAACTGGCCGCCGTGGGTGCAACTGTAGCATGTTGGTGGCTGTACTGTACCCCCACACTCATCCTGAATTCTAAAAACAAAAACTTTCTATATAATCATAAATTCAGTTTATCATTTTCCCCTCGAGAATATTCTGAGACATTTTAAGATTAATGAATGGTAAATGAATCTGTTCTATATTTGCGCTATGGAAATCGAAGCCGGGACCATGCCACCGGCTGGGAATGCGAGCTGTGCAAGAGTATGCATTCGCACGGAGGTTGCATTGTTGTTTTTGCTGGTGGCTGAGGGTGCAGTTGGTTGTGAGCGAGGCGTGGGAAGACTACCTGCTAGGGCGGTACTCTGTATGGGGCCCTTGCTAGGCTGACTATGGCCTGGCCGGAGTCTTCTTTCTCGACCACTGGGCCTGGGAGGGGAGGGCTCAGGTGCCAGTTGATGTTTTTCTTGCAGATTTTTAGTTTCTACGAATGTTAATAGGCATGTAGACCTTTTCAAGTGAGTCTGTTTTTGGAGTAATGTAGCGGTCTCGTGTACCTTAGATATTTAAAGTACTTAAGATCATTGCATTGTAGTATATTGTATAAGCTTAATAATCATATCTTTGCGTTTCACCTTAAAGAGAATTCGATCAGCTTATACGTAGTCACTTAAAGAGACCTATCAGAGGGTTCGAAGGTGGCAATTGCTAAACTGTTTTTGACATTTCAGGTTTTATTTCAGGATTATTTATACACAATGAAACACGCTCATCAGTCACAGATCCTTAGAATATAATTGAGTCTCTTGCACCAAAGGAGGAGCATGTGTACTGTACCAAATTGTTATTCTCATAAAAAAAATTCATATGTTGCCTTCATCAGTGTCTAATGGAGGGAGGAATAACCTACCAGGAGTGAATGAAGAACAGCGAATGTAGAGAGAGAGAGAGAGAGAGAGAGAGTCTACGTTTGATTCTAGTCATCTTGTAATATAACGAGAGAAGGTTTACAGTCGTAGAAGGACTAATTTATCACAGCTCACCAAATCAACAAACACACTCACCAAATCATCGTACTGCCTGGCAATCCCCCCCCCCACCACCACTACCACCACAACTCCCTTCCTGTGCAACATGGCATGGGTAAATCGGCTATTCCAGTCCTTGCACGCCTCATTGCAACAGTTGCACAAGTAACAGTTTTATTTCCCTTCCTCTTTTGTCCACCTGTCCCTTCCACTACATCTCCCTGTTCCATTGGGCTGTGGGTCCGTACCATTGGCCATGTGCAACCAGCGTAAGATATTGTCAAAAATATTTGCAACGGGGAGTTTGAGCCTTGCAATTGCATAGAAATTATGATAGGTATTAGAAAAGGAAGGATTATGAATGTTTATGGTTTATACGCAGCTTTTATGTCTCACCAATACGCGGGAAAACATTGATTTGCTTAGTTATTCGATATTTACCAACGTGGCAGTGAACTGTTTTTAAATTGTGTATGAATGTTACCAATGGAACTATATATATAATTGTTATATATTACCAATGAAACAATGGACGATTTCTATGTTACTACTACAACACTTTATTACTGCCATACACGTTACTGATAAAACATGGCTGAGTTTATATTGATGAGACAAGATAGAGGATTTTGATGTTATTGTATAGTGGTGATTCATCTCTCTCTCTCTCTCTCTCTCTCTCTCTCTCTCTCTCTCTCTCTCTCTCTCTCATTCCATTACTTACCATCGCTAACCAACTCCATCTCATTCCCCTTTCCAGTTTTTCTCCTTCCCTTTCCCCCTTCCTTCCTTCCCTCCCTCCCTCCCCCATATGCATATGAGAGAGAGACAGAGAACGAGAGAGGGAGGGGAGATGATGATGATGAACCGCGATGAAAAGGGACAAACGAAAAAAAAAATGAAAAGGAAGGTAAAGGTAGAGAAAGGTAAGTGTAGATAAGTGTATCACAAGAGGATTTTGGTGGGGTTCGAACGTGATATGATCTGCGGTGAGAGTGTTTAGCCGGGATGCCAGGAGCCGCGGTCGTTCCCCTGCTACTTACTGGGTGTCTGTCTGTCTGTCTTGGATTAGTTAGTGTATTAGTGAGGGAGATAATAGAATGGGTGTAGTAGACCTATTGGTATACTCATGGGGTGTAAGTGGGGTGTAGGTGGGGTGTAGGTGGTAGGTGGGGTGTAGGTGGGGTGTAGGTAGGTGGGTGTAAGGGTAGGTGGGGTGTAGGTGGTAGGTGGGTAGGTGGTGTGTAGGTGGTGTGTAGGTAGGGGTGTAGGTGGGTGGGTAGGTGGGGTGTAGGGTGGTAGGTGGGGTGTGGGTAGGTGGGTGGTGGTAGGTGGGTGTAGGTGGTTGTGTGTAGGTAGTGGTGAGGTATAGGTGGGTGTAGGTGGTGGGTGTAGGTGTGGGTGTGGTGTAGGTGGGTGTAGGTGGGTAGGTGTAGGTGGGTGTAAGTGGTAAGTGGGGTGTAGATGATAGAGTTATGGGGATGAGTGTTTTAGGTGTATTCATGAAGGTGTAGTGGACTTGGGTGGGGTGTAAGTGTTTGGATATACACATACACTTAAATGTATTGTATAGTGATTAGTTTTTATTTTTTTGGGGTGTAATTTGAGTAATATGTATATGTGTAAATGTATACGTGTGCGTGTTGTATAAGTATTTACATATATTTAGGTGTGTTGGTGACTGTGTATACATATTTGTGTGTGGGTGTATTCTGTACAGTATGTATACACAGGCATTCAAGTGTGTATGAGTGAGTCTGTGTATACATATTTATGGCTGTATGTATTTTGTGTGTGTGTGTGTACGTTAGCACGCATGTACAGTGAGTTTATGCATGCGTTTGTGAATCAGTGTACTCGTATATGCATTTATTTAAGTTAAGTGTGTGTGCTTGTGTGCATATGTGTGTGTGTGTGTATGTGTTTATCATTTTATATGTGAGAGTAAATCCATGTTTGTTTTGGTTCATGTTCTTTGTTTTAATTTAATTGAAATCTGTTCTTTAGTTCTCAGTAAAGCATAATCTCTCTCTCTCTCTCTCTCTTCTCTCTCTCTCTCTCTCTCTCTCTCTCTCTCTCTCTCTCTCTCTCTCATCATAGATTTCAAAAAATATATAGACTGTGTATCTCAAATGACAAACACAAGAACCCACTGCAGCTGCATTCA